ATCTTCTATATATTTTTCTTATTGATCAAGTTGTGAAGCCTCTAATTACTATTTTTCTTTATTATTATTATTATTATTTGTCATTGGTTAAGTACATTTATATGTTCACGAGCTTTAAAGTGCTAGGTTTCACCTCATTCTAGTGACTATGTCAATGAACTGTGAGTCATCTGCGGGAAAAAAAAACCTTATTCTATTGTGAAGATATTATTCAATTTGGAAATGAATGAAAAGAACTATGTCTAACTTCCCATTGTTCTTCATATCCTTGTAAACCCTTTTTATTTGTAAACTTTTTAGTGTGAGACAGAATCAAGAAGCTTCGTAATGAGGATAGCATTATGCGAAAGATTAGAAATCGGCGAAAAGGCTCTAAGACCGCTGGGATAAAGTAATTTCTTTTATCAGAGACCAGCTGTATTGTAATAATAATAAAAAAAAAATTGCATAAAGGTTTTTGAATTTTCCTGTTATCTTTTATGTTTAGCCTGTACTATTTATTATTTATCCTTGACTAGTTGTGAAGAAAATATGTAATGTACACGTGGGGGTTGCAACACATTGGATTGATAGTTACAAACAATATCAGGGAAGGGACTTGTTGCTCTAGATTCATGGTTGAGTCATTGCCACAAAAAATGGATCGTCAGTTAAGCACAGGCAAACACAACAAAATGGATACTATCAGTTTTAATAGGAAAATCAACTTTCCTTGTGAGAAGGTAATAACATGGTGATTCATGCTACAGTAATACTAGTGTAAGTCATTTTACCGGAAACTGATATTGTTGTACTCAAATAATTTTACTATTCTGATTAGAATTAGCGAAATTTTCTATTCCACAGAAGGCTACTCCAGGGCAGATCCAGACGCAAGCAGCCCGTTTGTGTGCTAAATCTACATCAAACTTGGAAGGGAGGCTATCATGTTCGAGGAGTGAACCAGTGAGCTTTTTTCTTGTTTCATTATCACAGAGTCTGTAATTTTTTCATTCTGTCTTTTGTTGACTAGAGAATTTTACCACTTATTTTATTTATTCAAAAGTTTAGCTTCCAGTCTTCCACAAAAAAATTAGCCATGACCTTGAATTACAGTGCCAAACATTCTCATATTCATGTTTCATGATTGTTCTCGTAGACTTTATGGTCAAGGATTTTTTCCAACTTTCCCTTTGGGGAAGCAAAATTCTATTTCTTCTCCCCAATATCATCATCCCCACTCCCTTGGTTAAATTCCATTGATCTTGTTATGGTTTTGGCTTCATTATGGCATTAAATTGTTTGCCACAAAATATGGGCATTTAAAAAAGAGCATATTTCTGTCCACACTAGCACCATGCTGTGAAACTTGTGAAACCAGAAACTTGTGTTTGAGAGGGACTTGAATATGATACTTCGAATTCAAATTTTTGGTTGTCTCTTGATCTATTTTTCATATTCCCCTTCCAAAAAGTAAAAACACAAAATAGAAAAAAATTAAAAATTAAAAGAAGGAAAAAGTGTTTTCCTCTCTTAGATGGGTACTAATTGTTTAATTGTTTGACTAGGCATTGTCGCTAGCATGTAGTTAGAGCCCATAGTTATGAATTGAAGTGTGTAATGTGATGAGAATTGTTCAATCAAAAGGTGGCTGCAAATGTGTTAATGTTAATGTAAATATTTATGAATACTTGAATATTCTTCAATCAACTTTACTTGATTCCAACTGGATTGTTTTCATGATAGAGAAGTGTTGCTTAACATCATAGGATGCTGACAGTTATCTTACTTGTGATTACAGGTTTTCGAAAGTAAGATGTTTGGAGCTTGTGAGAAATGGAAAACATGAACATCATATTGGTTCACATGATGGAGATGTCCCCAAGCTCAAGCATTTTTCCTACTACTGACAATTATTCGCTTCCTCCACCACCATCACTAGGTTACTAATCTTTAATTTGTTGGCGGTGACATCTTATCACTTTCTATTATTTTACTTTGTGAAATACTAACACAAACCCTAGAGATGTATACAAGCTAATCATATAATACATTGTTATAGATTTTTACTTCAAATGTTGAAATTGAAATATCTATAAATCTTGAAGATATTAATTTCATCAAAATTGTATAAAAAAAAAATTGGTGTTCTGTTTTCTCAAATAATGTCACTTACCTGAAGGGTTAAAATTTCAGATCACCAACTAGTACAAAAAGTTTAAGCTATCTAGGAAATGAGCCTAATAAATGTATATTAAGCTATTAACACCCTCACTCATGTGCAATCTCGTACTACACGCGGAGATGCAAAGAGATATTATAGAGAAGCATAATGTAAACGGGGGGAACAAATGCAAACAAGAAATCCAAAGAAGCACGGACACGGTGAAATGAAACGGAAACAGGACACAACGATGTTGAAAAAGTTAGGATATTGATACGATAAGGATACTGAATTTGTATTTTATTTTTTAATACCTTATTTGCTATTTATATGATTTATAAATTTAGGGCATAGAGATATAAGAGGCTTCAATGCATATTGTGCGTTTTTATTTATTTATTTATTTTCACTTTCCTTCTTTTTTGTTTTCATATATTTACTTTGATCTCAAATCATCTTTCTATATTATGAAAAGAAACTCACAAAAAGTGTCCTGAGGTGTGGTTCAAACACTTAAACAACCGCTGGTGTGTTTGACATGTTGGAGGCGCGTCTCTAGAGTGTCGGGTGTACCATATCCAACATGGATACTGCACGCATATTTAAGGTGTTGGTGCTTTATTAAACTTGAATCTATGACCTTTTTTCTGACCTCAGTTTTGAGAGTAATTATTCAATTCTCCTGGAGCAATGATCCTATTCATTGACAGAATTGACACTTGACACTTTGTCTTCTAAAACTCTATCATAAAAGTGGTGGATCCCATGAGTTAGACCAATAGCTACTGATTTGGAACACCACCTAGACATGGTCCAGGAGTATTAAATAATTTTTCCCAGTTTTGATATCATTTTAGATCACCACTAGTCCCAAAAGTTTAAGTGGTTAGGAGAGAGCAAACCTGCATTGTACTAGTTTGAAAACTGCTGTTCTCAAGAGAGATGTGAAGATGGCCTCTTTTAATTATTGTGAGACTTTTTGGCATTCGAAATATAGTTTTATGAAATTTTTAAATAGGCAAGGTTCTTACATTGTGTTTTGTTACGTGTATTTGCTTTATAGAATTAACCTTATTGCTTTTGTTGCAGAATTTAAGTCTGGTTCTGAATATCAGTATGTCTGATATCAAAAAGAACTTCAAAGTCTGTATTGAATACAAATGTCATGCTGATGGGAGAGGTTGGTTACTGCCTCCATCCATGATTCAGTCTTTAACAACAAAAGCCTCATCTTCGAGAGAGCAAGAAAGCCGAAAATTAAGATTGGACGGTAATTCAAATGAGTGGAGGAGCTGTTGAAACTCCAAAACCGCTAAAAGTTCTGTCAGACCTTCCCAAGAATGTGGTTGCGAAATTAGTTCATAGATATGTGTCGTTGGGAAGAGATTTATTGTATTGAAGGATCTTGTGCAATCATCGGATTATTTTGCTATTTCTAAGATCCTACTTATTGGGGGGTGACTCTCATTGCTTGAAGGAAAAGTGAGAAAGTATGTGTGGCAATGCAATTGGTTTTATTCATGGATCAGTCGGAGGTCTTCCCAGTACGTTGTTTCGTATCTTGATTACACTTGTGTGGGCAAGGAATTCATATTTTTTTTCCTTTTGTTACACTAAAAATATGGTTTAGGGGCTTGGAATCTTGGATCTTTGCAGATATTGAATTCGAAACTTGCATTTTCTGAAGAAAGCCTCAAGTCATCTGTCTTGTAATTTGTAAGATTGTAATATTTGTACAGTGTGTTGAAAAGGGGAAAAAAAAGGAAGATAACCATGATATTCGATAGATTAGAAGGTCAATTACACTGACAACCTATTTATTGCTAATTCATTAGTAGTTCTGTATTTCTAGATATTACTTCATTTTTTTTTGT